ATAGATAGATAGATAGATAGATAGATAGATAGATAGATAGATAGATACATACATACATAACAGGTGTTTTAAACCCTTCCCCCACTCTTGCAATATTCTAAACAATGTTTCTAAACTCTCTAAGAGCACAGAATGTCATGATTTCCCTCTGTGCCTCAGCTGCTCTCAGCCAAGTTGTTCTTGGCCACGCCCACTTCTCCGCTCTGCACGAGAACAGCTGATTCGCTTTTCAGCTACAGCAGCAAGCTTAACCTGCAGTGTGGGCTGCACAAAGGTGCAGCAGGTGTTAAATAATTTAAAATAATTTATTTTAAAAAAAACTCTATGCCGATCATGTGGTTCATACGTCAATCAGCCAATTGCGTGTCGTGGCCAATCTTATTTTGAAAAAACGCGATAGAGGAGTCCGTGATAAACAAACCGCGAAGGAGCGAGGGACTATTGTATAAGCAAAACTAATTTGTACCAAACTCAAAGAAAAAACTAAGGATTATAAATAGCAAACATTTTTGAAAAATTTCACAGAATTATAATTTTTACTTTGTTTATTCAAATAAAGACCTGTGGGAAGTTGTGCCTACTGCAGAAAGGATTGTTTAGAAAAACCATCATATTTTATTTAGGTTAGGTTATGAGAGAAGCGAACACTGAAACTCACGGCCACGTTTTCTTTATTTTACCCTCAACAGTTTAAAAACAATGACTACAGTATAAGAACCAATCTGGAACATAAAGTCCAAGTGCAGCGTCATAGCATAAAAAATTTCAATTTACTTTGTACTTATGAAGATGTTTTTATTTATTATTTAATCTGCTTACCAGAACAGAGTGCATACCCATGTAGACTCGGCTCACGCAGACCAGGACACTCCAGCTGAGAGCCACACAAAAGCCAAAGAAGAAAGGATACTGCAAAGAACAACACAAGTTACAACATGTCTAAGGAAATCCTAGTCTTTATAAATGCAAACATAAAGATGAAGGGTTTGAGCATCATCAGAGCAGTTGTTTTCTAGTTTTCTGATGACATAAACAAGAGTTTAAAAAAACGACTGTAAACTTCAGATATATGTTGAATAACCATATGTATTGGGTGAAATGTCTCCAGCCTTGCTTGTTGTGTCAGACTGATCTTTGACTCTGCACTGCATTAAAACTAAAGCTAACATCAGCATGAAACTACGACAACGCTGCATGATCATCATCTCAGGATTTGCTGAGTGGCATCAAGACAAACCGACAATAGGATAACATGTAAATAACTAGTGTCAAGCACAGGTCCTGATAAAAACTCTGGATTTTAAAAAGCAGGGTGACAAAATTTAAGTCCAAGAGAGGCTTTCAAGGGTTGCTGAGAAACTGACGGTGGTGGTGCTTGACATTATATCATATAATCAATATTCAATATAGTTCATTCAATGGAAACCTTGAATATCTGTATGAATTTTACAAGAATCTGTTGCTGTGAATAAAGATGGTGGACTGATGGATTATCCTCGAGCCACCCGTGTAATATATTTTTTTCCCCTCCAAGTTATTCCCACTTTTTTAACATCGGCTATGACACTGCAGGGAGCACGGTGAAGCCAACACAGCTGAGGCAGATCTGATCAGTTTGGAGCTCTGCGACAAAATTCAAGTTCAGGAGTTCTTCCTTCCTGCTGTTCATCTCTATCACTGGTTTTCTGCACGTGATTTCTATGTTTCCGTCTAAACACGGTGATCTTTCTGCATCTGTTCTTCTTTTTGCTTCTCTTTTTATGTCTGCCACGAACCTTACCACCATGTCGGACAACTTCTGCTTTCATCAGTCTCTTTCCTGGAGGATCTTTGAAATGATCAGGAGGTTATATCAAAATAAGCGTGCATGTTGGCAAGAAGCAGCAGTGCAGAAGTACTGTTATGAAACCACTTAAAATATTTCCCATTTTAATCTGACAATTATTTTTAAAACTAAATCTAATTATTACAAGAGATAAATATGTAAATAAAATATTTTGCTTCAACGATCAATTATTTAATCAAATGTTTATCCATGTTACTTTACAACATTCTGAAGAGATTTTCAACTTCAGCAGTTCTTTGAACAAGACCATGCAGCCAAAGATAAGCATTCCTGGTACTGAAACAGACTTCCCATTCTAAGAAAATCAAACTTTCTCTTTCCTGTTGTCTCATTGAAAACATGAAATGGTGAATATTTGCTTGTTTAGAACAGCATCGCTACACCTCCTTGCCTCACCCTGTTGGTAACACATGTTGTTTTGTACAAGCAAGTTTTAATTTCAGGTTTAACTACAGTTGTTCTTTTGGCACCGAAGATAAGCATGGATTTGGCTATTTTATTTTAATCAACCAAACCTTCTGACAGGCCCTGAAGAGAAAAACAAAACTCCCATGCTGCACTTTTCATTCTTTATTAAATACAGCGCCATGTGTTTATTCAAACATGTTTTAAAGCAAAATCTGTAACCACAGGAGCCGACTAATATCCTGTAAAAAATATATATATTGCATCTTTGTAAACATGGATACATACTCTTTACTGGTTGTGTAATTACAGTTCCAGTGGAAATATAAGAGTCAGTTCTTACTGCAGTGAAACTTAAAAAGAAAATTAGCTTCATGTGGCTGAAGGAGGAGACAGATCCCTGATCAGTTATGTGAAAAAGCTAAAGTAAAAACCTCATTGTAGTTAATGCTGCAAATATATTTGTCCCGGTAATGAGACGCATCCAAAGAGAAACATTTCTCAACTATTTTTTTTTTTTGGTAAATCTGCTGTTTTGTGATCAAGGCACATGAGTTGACAATTATTGTTTAAAAAAAAATCCATTCTGGATCAGTTTTCCAGCAGCAGATTCTGGTAGATGACAGGAAGAGGAAGTGATCTGATGAAGCCAACCCTGAATTTTGATGTTTACTTTCTGTTTGAAAAACGTTTCTTTCCGGCAGCTCATCCTGTGATTTTCTGTAGCTGTAGTTTTAAAAGTTTATTCTTTGTTGTGCTTTTCTATATTTTGAGCACGTGCCTCTGTTTGGGTCTTTGTTTCTCTTAATGTGACATGTCACTGTTTCCCTATCTCTGTTGCTGGTTGAAGCAGATGGACGCTTGTCCTGAGCCTGGTTCTGCTGGAGGTTTCTTCCTCATGAGGGCGTTTTTCTTTTCCACTGTTGCCTTCATGCTTTTACAAAAGATGAGAGTCTGCAATGAAGTTAGACTCATAGCGGTCCGCTCCTCAGATAATGTTATTAACTTACTTTTTATGAATGTTTCGGAGCAGTGCCCTTCTGCTGTGACTTGGTACTATATAAAAAAACTGAATTGAATGATGGCCCTAAAGTATTAAAGTGATAAGCTTCACTCTTTGTCACCATTTGTGCTTTTTATTTTTCATGCAGCCAGCTTGGTGTTTTAAACCGACTCACCTGCCACCGTCCGTAGGTCAGCATGAAGAGACAGAAAGGGATGGCTGTCCCTGTCATGGCGTGTGTGGAGGGCATGCTGTACTCCGAGTTGTAGAAGACCTCCACCTTCACCACAGGAGGGGAGGCCGGTCGGGACCAGCGGATCATGTCCTTGGTGGACTGTCCCACAAACAGGTTCCAGGCCCAGACCACGATGAGCCTCCTGCTGACCAGGGCGTCGATGTTCCAGAAGAGGAAGGGGAAGAAGACGATGAAGAACATCTCGTTGCCCAGCTCTGTCCCAAACGTGAAGAGATAGAAGAGGAACTTGTTGTGGATCAGGAACTCCTGACCCACATCCCCGGTCAGGGAGTTCCTCCGGAGGGGTTTAGCTCTGGTGGACTCAGCCGGAGATGCATCATCAGGCCTGGAGTCGTCCTCCTGCATCCCGTTAACCTGCGGTACGGCTGCATCTCCATTCCCCACGCCTTCATTCGAGCTCTGTCCGCCGTGCTGGACCCTCCTCCGCAGCCCTGGACCGTCCGGGTCCAGCCGTCCACCGTCCGGCTCGGTCCGTTTCTCCGGAAATGTTCCTTTTACACCACAGAGTCTCTGAAACCTCGCCACATGGCAGGGGTCTTGGAGATAATTGCACATTTGTACAAACTTATTCACGGTCGCCATGTTTAGCAAAAATATCCACCTTTTTGTTAAATGTACTATTTCAACTATTTCCTGTCGCAGTAAACACGAACATCATCGAGGAACTAGCTAAGCAGAAGTGTAGCTCCTCCGATTCATTCCTCCACACAACTCTGCAGGTCGGAGCACAACTTCTCTAATATCTGCAGTCCGCATTTAAAATACCGACCTTGAGCAGTGGCGTGGTCGTATCGGACGGAAACATCCAAAGTCCGTTACAGTTAACCATTACTCCTCCATTAGAAGAGCTAATTCATACAAGCGACAACTGCGTCAGACCGCTAACCGCTTTCCCCAGACGCTTTCTTCTTCTACGGTTTAAAAAAAAAAAAGTTGTCCGTACTGTTAATGTTCAGAATTGTTGAACGCCTCCCCCTAGTGGCTGTTAAAGAAACTACATGAGTTTATAAATAATACAAAATAAAATAAAGTAAAATAAAACCAAATTATCACATCATATCGACAGATTCTCTAAAGCATATTTCCTTATTTCATTCACCCAGTAAAATGAACATTTACAGAATTTGTCATTTGTCTTTTTCACAGTCAGCATTTAATCTGAAGAAGTCTGAAGAAGTCTTTTGGATAAAAGACAAAACGTTTCACCGAAGAAGAATCTATCCAGATGACCTGACTCAACCTTGTTACATTTTTCTACCTGGATTATTGAGCATGCATCAGGACAGCCAGCATTTAAGTTTTCTCAAACATCATTCCTCCAGCACAAACCCATTACTTTTACAAATAGTGTGTTTTAGGACTTTCAGCTTCAGAAATGCACAAATACCTGTTTACAATGTGCATTGTGAATCACTGAACTTGTTTTTTTTACTAGGAGAAACATCTTTCACAAATGTATAATGTAGTTCTTCATTAGGTGCAACACAGCCTCTGACATATTCATTTGTATGCAGATAAAATTAGGACTACAATGTAAAAAAATCTAATATGAAAAAAAATTAAAAAACTATAATGAACGTGTTTTATTACAATAACTTTTACATTAATAAAACTTCAAAGCTCACAAAACTACCGTAATAGAAATAAAATAAACTATTGATATAAAAGTTGTCAACAATGCTGTGAGAAGTGTTGCTGTTGAAAAGGTTTCCCAACTAAACATCTTAAACTGTGTGGCATGTTTATTTGTTTACTGAAATAAATGTATGATCAGTTTCTGTTTGTATAAAGTTAGAAATAATAAATCGAACTGCACTGCAGGAAGTTGGGAGTTCCCTTCAAAATAAAATTCAGTAGTAGGTGAATTCCAAAGTGTTTGAGAGCTGCATTTTTTTTTCTTCTCACAAATAATAAAGATCAACAATAAAAACAATAGAAGTGGTGTTTCTGGCTCTCTAACCACATAAAAACAACCGATAATTAGAAATCATAAAAATGTTGCACCCATCATCCTCAGGTGGGCAGATGCTTACTCTGTTGTAGTGGACATCTTAACATAAGCACATTAGTTTTAAAGACCTGCGTTATTTATGCATGCAGTGTCCTTGCAGGGTTTATCACATGCTGGTTGTTTGTTTTATTTTGTAACAAATAGGTGAAGTAGTGACATTTCTAGGTGCGTTAAAGGGATGATGCAGGTAGTGCTGCAGCCACAGGTGAGGCAATTCAAGACTAATTGAGAAAATAAAATAAAAAAACATATACATACCAACTAAAGTTGAAAAGTGAAATAAAATGAATAGATAACTGCTCAAACTTAAATGCTGCATCAGCTTCATTTACCATCAACCTAAGTGAGCACTGAAGCTTTTGAGTTGACTGAATTCAAAAAACGTTTGTTCCTACATAGATCATCCAAACATAGTTCCTACACAGACTGAAATGCTCGATGATTAAAGTGTTTTTTTTTTTTAGGAATTAAAAACCAACATTGACTCTCTGCTCCAAGATGAATTTTTTATTTTAGGATGATGCTTTTATTTTGGTAACCCGCCCACTCGGACCCGCTGGAAGCGCTGCTGGAGTCGACTGTGGTTCTGATCCGACTGCTGTCAGGTCAGTCTGCAGGGATGGGACGGGTTTAGACCCAGCAGAACCTCCTCCTCCTCTTAGCACCGACTTTCTGGCCGGAATCCTCCGTCATGCATGGGGGGAAGAGGGGGCTGGTGGCTCCGCAGAACACTTTCCTGGAAAACATCGTCCGGCGCTCCAGCGGTGAGTTCAAGCTTTTATTCATCTCATCTCCAAACCACTCCTTACTGCCCAGGTCCAACATAATTTAATGCTTGCTTAAAATTAAAACGTTTCATGTAAAAAACGGATAATTTGACTTTATACGCACAAATGCATGAAATTATGTTTAATATATTTGTACTAAGTGCAATTAAACCTAAATTCATTCTCTCAGATTTATGCGTTTTTACAACATACAACAAAAATTGATGGTTTTTCTTTTTTTTGGTACCACTTTACAACAAGGCTCCCTTTAGATGGCTACTAAATAGTTTATATACGTTATCAGTTCCTCTATAAACCCTTAAATAATTAATTAATTGTTAACTAGAGACAAAACTGACCATTTTCTTGTCAAACAGTGAGCCAAATCTGCCACTTATATATTTAAAAACGAAAAAGGTTCAACCATGTCATCTGGACCAGTTTTTTTTTTTCTTTTTTTACATGATTTAATATTTTTTACCTGGATGAACAAACCTTTTTTCACCTATATTTCATCTAGAGTTGTTATATTAAACATTTCAGACTAAGTTACCTTGTAAGCACAATAATTAATTCACTCAACTTTTACTTAGACAGGTTAATCCCACTGAGCCTCGAGGACTCATTTACAAGAGAAACCTGATTTCAACAAAGAATGATGACAACAACGACAACAATAGACAATCATAAAAGAAGCATACAGATTATTTTTTTTTTACAAATTAAAATAAGATGGCAAAAAAAAAGTATAGCTAGATTATAAGGCAAATGTAGAAAACTAAAAACAGGAACATGTCTACATTGGTTTGAGTCCACCAGATTCTTAAAGCCACTTAGAGAGGTCAAGGTCGAGAGCTTCGAGAGCTTCGAAATAAGCATTTGCTAACCTTTTTTAGCATACAATATTGTACTTTATCACTGCATTATAAGCATTTACAACTAATATTATATCCTAAAAAATATAGGTTTATAAATGCTTATTGTGGTCACAAGGAAGTAACTTAGTCTGAAATGTTTAATATAACAATTAAATATTTAGGTGAACAGATGGGTCTCTCTGTCACACTTAGTTAATGCATAATAAGCAGTTATTACTGATTTATAAAGTGTTTATAAAGGAATTAATAATGTATCTATAAACTATTTATTATCCATCTAATGGGAGGTGGTACCGTGTTATTTTTTATTAACACGTTTGCCTTGTTATTGTTGCTCTAGCCACATGTATGTCTGCAGCCTTTCACATGTTTACATGTATGTTATTGTAAAATAAGTAAAAATCACATTTCTAACATGTGGCTTGATTAGATTTATTAAAGGGTTCAGTGTTTTTTGTGCTGTGTGGGTAAAATCTCTGTGCTCACTTTCAGTGAGTTTATTGAGCTTTAACAGTGGTTCTTTAAAGTGAGAGTTGATGATGAGCTTGTTTGAAATCTTAGTGTAAGAGGAAAAATTAAACACAAAAGAGCTGCATCATTTCTAAATAAGAGCACAGAAGGTGACCTGATTTAATTTTTGCATTGTGTGTAACTCTCCGAGTCCAGAGTAGGTTAATATTAATGATGTTTCATTAAAGTAAAAATACATTTAAAACCGTTAAAAACGAGTTAAACTCATTTTTAGATTTTCTCTAGTGTTGTTGTTTAACTCCAGTGTCTAATGTCGTTTTAATTCTGGAAATATAGTTTAAAATAATCCTTAAAATTGTATGATCTTTGCACCTTTTGTGTTGAAAAGTTGTTCCCCAATGTTGGGTTACCCCTTTGTGGGACAAGATTCTTTGGATGATCTCAATAAACCAAAAGTAAATGTTAAAAACTTTGCTGGTGGTGTATGTTGTGCCATTATTGTCACAAAAGATAAATGGACATTTACCCAGATAATAAAGGTAAAACATGTTGCATTATCATCATTTCCTTGTTTATTTGGCTTATAGGTGAACATTTTGTATTTCAACACATGATTTTTGGAGTCACAAGTCTCTGAAAGTCCTATTTTGTGGTCAGAAGGTAAAAAGTTTGAGCAACGCTGGTGTACATTAAACACTGGCTATATCAAGATGTTAATAATGGGATGTCTTCTTTTAGGACAAATAATTGCAAAACACAAGCTTGTTATAGAGCTTGTTGTGAAGCATATACAACGGTCTTTATTACTATTTAAGTGCAGATTTCTCACATTTGAGACTGTTAATAAATGGATTTAGTGAAGTCTTTCTGAATGAGATATTTTGGTGCAAGAACACGCAGTTATTTCCGTAAAGAAAAGAAACCTCCTGTCCTTCCTATGATGCTTTTTGATTTGTCAATATGGAGCTTCCTGTGCTACTTAACATTTGCTTGTGCTTGTGTACTCCTCGGTAGAGCTTTCAGTGCTGTTAACTGTTTCTTTGGCAGACTGACAGTCTGTCTGGTTGCCTGACAGAAAATGCACGTGAGACTGAGGTTTTATTGCACGCTCAGACTGTGCGAAACAGGCGTTTCATGAATGAAATGCCTGCAAAATTATTGTTCTGCTCATTGATTTACCACAAACCAAGAAGATCATCTGAAATTCAGCCATTTTTGTCTAAAACTCACCACCAGAGGAACCTGATGAATGAATGCATTTGTTAACTTATTGGATGTTTTAGTGTTAAATCTTTAACTGCTCCAGTTTTTCAAAGTGTTGTGCAGTGCTCAGCCGATACAGACTGCATCTTAATGCTTGTGAAGCTGAGGAACTTTTCAGCTTCCATCAATATTTCATTTGCATTAAAGCTGGAACGCAAACCCTTCATCAGCAAATATTTCTGCGTGTCTCGTCTTGGCTGCTTAAAATATTGATGAGTTTGCTTATTGTCTCTATTACATGTGACAAGTGAAGTAACTGTAAGTAGTTAGAGTTTGCTCATTATGATTATTTTCATTTAAAATTGATGTGGAGATTTTTTTATACCGTATTTTTTGGACTATAAGGCGCACTTAAAATCCTTTAATTTTCTCAGTGAGTTATAATCAGGTGAACCTTATTTATTAATTCTGCTTGTGCTTACAGACTTCAAACTGATTTTATGTGATTATTGTGAACGAGTTGAATAAAGTTTGACTTGTCTGACTGTTTTGTTTCACTTAATGCGCCTTATAATCCGGTGCACTTTATAGTCCGAAAAATACCGTATAGAAATACTTTACCGGGTAGAAACCACACGTCTTTTTCTATCATTGCATTTAAATTTCACTGAGGTTTTCTTCCAGCTTTTCTGCAAGTCACATGTGAAGATGTACAGTGGACTTCCTGACTGACTTTAAGACTGAAATTTTCCTCCACTTTCTAAGAAACCAGTTTCCTATTGGGAAATGCACAAATCGTGGAGTGGCCGGTTGTTTACAGCAACGATGGATTCTGCAAGCTCTCTGGATATCACAGAGCCGAGGTCATGCACAAGAGCAGCACGTGCAGGTACGGGTCGCTCGTCACCTGGATGTAAAGGCACAGCTGAAATATGATCGCCCTCTTATGTATTTCATGATGTCTGAGTGTTTTTGTTTGTGTGGTAGCAAAGCAATTTATGAACCAGTGGATTTCGAGGAAACCCTCTGAAACTGGATTCCCATCTACAACTGATTAACCTTTGAGTTCAACCTTATTCAAGATGGCTGCCACAGCTAACTGACTTCAACAAACATAAAATTATTTGTAACACACTCTGAGCACTAACTGTTTGCACATCTTTGTTTAAAACTCAGGCAGGCACAGCAGTGGGTGATACGGATTCATTCTAGAAATTATACTTTGATTTTGGGGCGTTTTAGATTTTTCAAATCAGATTTCATAACTCGCTACTACACAGATGTAGTTCTTCATAACACATTTCAGCTCCTGTTTGTGTCGACTGCGAGTTACTGTTGGAAATATAAAGTAAATAAAAGCATTTCAAGTGGTCCGAGTTTTATTTTGGAAATCACTTCCTGGTCATTTAACAGCGCTGTAATTTCCAGGACATCCTTGTAAAAGAGATTCATGATCTCAATGGATTTCTTCCTGGTAAAATAAAGGTATAAATAAAATACTGTGGATCCACTGTTTCAGACCAAATGCACAACTTTGTTTTTGTGATTTTAGATTAAAAAAAAAAAAATAACTTTCCTAAAAGATCTGAAAATTCTCACATATCAAGGTAATTCTCATCTAAAGATTATTTTTACTTAATTTTTAAGATTTAGCCTTTTTTCACCATTGAAGAAAAATTGCAATAGAATCAATTAAATACACAAGTTTGTGCCTAAGACAATATGTTTGTAAAATATGTAAAAAATAAAGTTTACCAGGTTTGGGCCTCAGTTTTACTCTATTTGGAATTGTCCTTTGAAAGTTTAGGTTCTGGCGTGTCGTTTAGTTTTGAATATTTTCAGGTATTGGATGTCTTGCAACACAAGAGGACCAGAAATAGACTCAAAGTTATAAACTAGAGGTTTTGAGCTTTAATATTAAAAATGTCCAATAGGTAGTTTGCCGCCATGGAGGTTCAGGAGCAAACGTAAATTTTAGGGAAAGAAACTTCAGCAACTTTCAACAGAAAAAAAAAAAAATCCAAATACAATCATTGATCATAACAGTCCAGAAAAAAACTCCAAGCAAAAGAACGATGACCTCAGATGACTGGCAAACAGCAAAAACTAAATAAGCTGATTGCAACAAATACACAAATTGAACAGAAGTCAAACCTGAGCAGCATTAGTTGTAAAACTACCGGTAAAATAAAACTACCAGTATTTAAATTTGGATATATTGACAGAACATGACAGCCATTCAAGAAACCAAAGTAATCCAACAAAGCTGTTATGTTCTCCTTTCCAGCTTCATGTATGGTGACCTGACGGACAGAAAGATGATAGAAAAAATCAGACAAACGTTTGACAGCCATGAGTCTAACTACCATGAAGTGCTCCTCTATGCAAAGAATAGTGAGTACGACAACCTAACGGTTAAAAATAACATAAATTAAAGGGACGTTCATTCACTTACTTGTATTTTTTTTTCATTTATTGTCTATAAAAAACTAACGTTGTGTTCTGTGTTCAACAGGAACCCCTATATGGCTTTACATGCAGATCGCTCCAATCCGCAATGAAAACGACAAAGTGGTGCTTTTCCTCTGCACCTTCAGAGACATCACGCTTTTCAAACAGCCGATCGAAGACGAAGCAGCCAGAGGTGAGCAGGTTTTAACCGGACAACAACGTGCTTGCATTGGTTTCTCAGCTGAAATGTGACGGTCTACTGCCGGAGTGTAAGCCAGCTGAGGGTGAAGCGAATCCACAACTCTTCAGTTCACATGAGCGACTCTACAGACATTTGTCTTCTGGTGTTTAACATCAAACTGTCCAGGTGTTGCGTGTTCAGGTCAGTGAATGCAGCTTTCTCAGGGTCTGTGTGGGGGGCCACGTCCCTGGGGATTAAAGGGCCCCTGAGACTTTTCAGATATCAAGCAGAAAGAAAGGACGATCGTCCCACAGTGGCCGAACAGGTTTTACCCTGATAAAATGAAAACACAGACAGGCTTTCTCAGCATATTATCAGCCCTCTGTGAAAAACCTTATAAGATTTTGGAACATCTGTGAAAAACCTTATAAGATTTTGGAACATCTCCAGAAAGCCTGAAGATCTTTTGATCAAGACCACTTTAAAATATTGCAAGAAACTTTGGCTTCTTGAAAGCAAAATGTACAGAAATGAGGGCTGACTCAAGACTTCTGCACAGTACTTGAAATGCTATGACATCATCCTTAAACGACTGATATTATACCACAAATACTGCAGTGGTTTCTTTATTGGGTAGATCTAACAAAATGTAGGGATTTGGTAAAATGCACGTGAAACTATCGGCTGTTCCCTCTTCACTGTGAGTCATCCTCCTCCCTCTCACTCTGTCCTCAGTCCAACTACCTTCATGTCCTCTCTAACTGTGTCCATATTGCTCCTCTTTGTCTTTTTCCTGGCAGCTGCATTTCTAACATCCTTCTCTGGACATGTCAAATCCATCTCAGTCAAAAATTCCCATGAAATTATGGTGTTATTAAGTTTAAATACCATAGATTGTTATGGTGAGTTCAAGGCCACGGAGTTGGTCTTGATGTCTAAATGTCCACCAGTGTGATGAAAACATGCTTATTTGTGAAAACGATATTTGTGAGTGTCCTATGCATTTTTAACAATAGAAATTAGAAAAGCTCATTTTATATCTTACTAAACTGAAACTAACACTTCTAGATAAGTCACAATAAACTCCCAGTTTTGTTTCATTTTCCACCCTTGAAATATAACGTTAGACTACGGTGGTCCGTCTTTGCCTTGATAAAATTTTCTGTCTTTTGGACAGGATGGACAAAATTTGCTCGGCTCACGAGGGCCCTCACCAACAATCGTAACCTGGTGCAGCAGCTGGCACCTCTGAACAAGACTGAGGTCAGCCACAAGCCATCCAGACTGGCTGAAGTGAGTAGAACATCTTTTTAAAAATGTTGCATCAAAGTAGTAAAGTCAACGTAATGCCATTTAAATGGACAAAAGTATTTGGACGCACCTGTTAGTTGTTGCATTCAGCTGTTCCAGTCAGGGTTTGGGTCGGGTCATTGAGCTCCATTCATGGGCAGTCTTAGTTCCTCAGCAAACTGACATGGTGGACACATTAATGCTTTCTACTTTGTGGCAACACTTTGGAGAAGACCCTTTTCTGATCCAACATGATTCTGCCCCTGCACAATGAAAGGGCTATAAAGGTATGGAATGATGAGTTTGGTGTGGAAGAACCCTGGCCTCAACTCCTTGGGCACTGTTGACAATGACCTGAAATAGAGATTGTGAGCCACACCTTCTCTTCCAACATGACTCATTACAGTAATACTTATTCACTTCAGTTTATTTATATAGTGCCAAGTCACAACAGAAGTTGTCTCAGGGCACTGACACTCACATACATAAAAAGCCAATTACCTCGTGGCATTATCTTATTTATTTGAGGTAGCCAGCACATTGCGTTGAATCTTCACTTCGTTGCAGTCTCCCCCCATTCTGAGCAAGCGCAAAGGCAACAGTGGAAAGGAAAAACTCTTGCTAAACAAGAAGAAATCTCCAAAACCAGGCTCAGGACGAGCGGCCATCTGCTTCGACCAGCTGGGGTTTGAGAGGACAGGGAGGAGAAACGGACGCAGAATGGCAGGTCCATGTGTAGTTTCTACAGGAGGAAAGACAAAAAAAACACATGTTAAGATAGAAATAATTACAAATACAAACTATTCATTTGTAACTATTCATTTGAGGAAATGTGGTCAATTTGTCTTCCATTAGTCTAAGCATATAGCAGCATAGCTAAGGGATAGCTCAGGAAACCAAGCCAACCCTAACTATAGGATTTATTAAAAAGGAAAGTCTTAAGCTTTTAAACTGGATAATGTGTCAGCCTCACGGACAGAAACTGGAAGTTGGTTCCACAAGAGAGGAGCCTGAAAACTGTAAGATCTTCCTCCCATTCTGCTTTTGGAAACTAGGAATCTCAAGTAAGCCTGCAGTCTGACAGTGAAGTGCTCTTTTAGGAAAATATGGAACATGGATCTGTAATATAAGATGGAGCTAGGTTGTTGAGAGCTTTGTATGTAATTTATTTGTACTCTACAGACTATATGTACACACATTCCCACATAAACACTCTAAAATCTTGCAGAAGCTGTAATAGCTCCAAAAGGGGGACCAACTCTTTACAACCCCTGTCGGTGTGATGGTCATGTGTAACCTAAAACTTTTGTCCATGTAGCGTAGATTTGTAAGTTGAAGTATCTGCAAATAATTCTGTAATCGTGGTTTAAATGTTTCCTCTTGTTGAAAAAAGGCTCTCCAGCTGGGATCAGACATCCTCCCGCAGTACAAACAAGAGGCCCCGAAGACCCCTCCACACATCATCCTCCACTACTGCACCTTCAAGACCACCTGGGATTGGGTCATCCTCATCCTCACCTTCTACACCGCCATCATGGTGCCCTATAACGTCTCCTTCAGGACCAAGCACAACAACCTGGCCTGGCTGGTGGTGGACAGCGTTGTCGACGTCATCTTCCTGATTGACATCGTGCTCAACTTCCACACCACCTTTGTGGGTCCAGCTGGAGAGGTCATATCGGACGCCAAACTGATCCGAATGAATTACCTGAAGACGTGGTTCGTCATCGACCTGCTGTCCTGCCTTCCCTACGACATCATCAACGCGTTTGAAAATGTAGATGAGGTGAGGAACCGTTTCAAGTGTTTCATGAAGAAAGAACACCAAACCTGGTTCTGTCTTGAGTAGCTTACACAAAAAAATCTCCTTTCTAACAAGGCATTGTAGTTCATGCACAGTCATTTTCATTCATTCATTCAACCTTTATTTATACAGATAAATCACATTGAGCCTCGAGGACTCATTTACAAGTGAGACCTGTTTAGACAGATAAAAAAGTAAAGAAAGTGACACGTATAAGATTTGGAGGCAAGAAAAAAAAAAAAAAATCTTAACAGACTGTCATTCCTTGGCCGAGGGAAGATAGCTTGAAATTGAAAAAAACAACCTGCACATAAGCACATAGTGACGCAGACATTCCGCAGGGGAGGGGAGACGACAAGGGCGGTGAGCGTGTCCAAGGACACTCCAGAGGCACCAATGTTCTTTTGATAACATAACTAACATAACACGAGCTCACAACTTATATGACCTATACTGATAGTTGTAGTCTGGTGTTTAAGACAACTCTTAAAATTGATTGCAAAAATGTTATTTTTTCTTGGAGACGAGTCAGAGCAGACTGGGCCTTTCATGAGGGAAACATTTGAGGCAAAACATATACAGCACAGCTTGTAGAGTAGTAATACTTGATTAAATGGTTGATGGTTGACCTTATTAGCATCAAGGCTCAGCTCAGCAGAGACTGTATTTTTTAAAGAAACTGGGGTCTTTTAGAGCCAATAACTCAATGCTTTTAATGTTTTATTCTCCTTTTATTGAGGGTATTTTAACGTTTTATAACATCTGTTGGTTTGGCGATGCTACAGAGGCCCAGAAGAAATCCTATAGTAACCTCAGCCAGCTATCTGTTAGGGACCACTCTGCCGAGCATGGAAAAAATATACATGGACATAGTTATGAGGAAGGCAAACAAGATTATAGCAGACAATACACATACCCTAAGCTCTTCATTTGAATTGCTTCCTTCAGAGCAAAGGTACTGCCTTCCTTTATTCTCAACATTTTATTTCATACCACAAGCGATTAAATCATTAAACAGTAAAAAGGTATCATAAATTACTGAGCTCAAACTTCTTTGCCGTAATGATGGATGTTAATGTCATGTTTGTATATGTATGTCCTTTATGTAAATGCCTGTTGACAATGTTGCAAACCATTTTCCCTACTGGGACAGATAGTTATCCATTTATCTAAATGGTAGAACAAAAACTGCATGCACAAAGGATAAGTATGGGCTTTTTGAAAATATTGTTTGCAAATGATGGAAGTTTGGCATTTTTATTATTTAAATAGACTGTTTATCATGCTTCATATCTACCTTTTTAATGATTTGCTTTGTTTCCTTTAAAGGATATCATCCCACGTGCCTCTCCACCAGGTCATCTTCGGGACTTTTCACATTTTCACAGGAACACCACACGGACCGAAGATTCTGTTCTTCCTGTGAGTCGTTCTTTTACGTGAATTTGTCCTGAGAAATGTTCGCATGCACAAACAATAGCTCAGCTACTGCCATTCTAAATTTGACCCTGATCTTTGTATAACTGACCAAGTTATAGTTTTTGTTTGCTATGGTTGATCAGCTGTGGCGGCCATCTTGAATGAATCAGGTTCATCTTTGTCGATGCAACGATTACTTTCTGAGAGTTTAATTCAAATTTGAAAATGTTTGATTGCTCATTTCAGGAGATAAATTGCAAACAATCAGCCACACACACACAAATACATAACTGCACACTTTTTATGGCAGTGATGGATAACTAAGAGGTGGGTGATTTAAGCAGTTGGCTTTGAAAATGTCCTTCAAGAAATGTGCATCACTGAACATTTGTGCATTTTGTTAACACAACCTGTGATTACGTTTCAAAGTAAACTAATTTTTACTTGCATTGTAAAGCTGCTTTTATTAAATCACATTTAAATATCTCACACTGGTAACATAGAAGGAGGAGCTTTCAGAATTTTAGTGGAGACAAAGAATGTCGTTCTTAAATCCCAGATTATCGTCTTTTCTAAATAAAATGAAGTGATGCTCGGTTATTTACTAAAACAAAACAAAAAATAACTTTTAAAGAAAGGATGAAGACGGTAGGAGAAAATGAGATGGATGTTCCAAAGTATCAATAATTTCAATCCAAAAAAAAAAAAAAAAACGGTGCCTCACAGGAATGTTTGATTAAAATGTTTGATTAAAGTAACTCCAGCGAGGCACAGCTTTCCTCTAAACGACCGTCTGTGTTGCAGTTTATCGGCTGGATGAGACAGTAGGGACAACTGATGTGCTCGTTAATGTTGGATGTCTGGCTGAAGGAAACAGATATGTGAGTTTTTTTTAAAGCAGGTGTTGATGGGAGGTCAATAGAGCTCACAAAAGAGTAAATAATGAGTTTAAATTCACCAGGTGGCCAGAAATGTGCCTCTGAACTAAAATAATAGTTGGTCCCTCTCTGCCACATGTGATAAATGTTTGAGAACTCTTTTTTAGCGCTAACAAGCAAAATATAAATTTGATTTGTAATTGCATGAGAGTGGCACTGTTCAGAGTCAGAGAGATTTATTTGTCATTCGCATCTCATGTGGTACATGTGGTGGAACGAGGTTATGTACTCAGGGTCCCAGTGACATCCAACAAAAGTATAAAATGTAAAAGAAAAACAGTAATAAGATCTAAATATTAACTAGATATTAACTAAGGAAAAACATCAACTAAAAATACACTAAGCAATAATAGCATAAAAACATTACGTCGAACAGCAGCACGAACATGAGTCTGTGTGAGCAGATGAGCACGCATGAACACATCAACATTGAAACATATCAGCAGCAACATTGAAACAGATCAGCAGCAACATTGAAACAGATCAGCAGCAACATGAAGCAGATCAGCAGCAACATGTGATTTTTTTTCACAGTGATTATTCTAGCTAGAGATTCATGAGTCTAACAGCCTCAGGGTAGAAGCTGTTCCTCAGTCTAGTGGTTCTACACTTAATGCTCCTCAACCTCCTGCCTGAGGGGAGTGGGACAAAAAGTGTGCGCGCTGGGTGAGTGGGGTCCTTCATGATGCAGGTGGCCCTCTTCCTGCATCTGGAGGTGTAGATGTCTGTGATGGTGGGGAGCCTGACTCCAAACAGACTTCTGTGCAGCCATCACCACTCTCTGCAAAGCTTTTCTTTCTGCAGCTGTGCAGCCTCCATGCCACACGTTGATGCTGGAGCACAGGATGCTCTCCACTGCACATCTGTAGAAGGAGGTGAGGACTGAGCTCCCAGACCAGCTCGTCTCAGCCGTCTGAGGAAGTAGAGTCTCTGATATTTCTTGATCAGGCTGGTGGTGTTGTTGCTCCAGCTGAGGATGTCCTTCAGGTGTACACCCAAGTACTTGTAGCTGGAGACCACTTCCACTGCAGAGCCTCTTATGTTCAGGGGGGTGTAGGTGTGTTTGTTCCTTCTGAAGTCCCACGATCATCTCCTTCATCTTCTTCACATTGATGTGAAGGTTATTCTCTCTGCACCAGCTCTCCAGGTGTTCTACCTCCTGCCTTTAGCTGGACGTGTCATTGTTTGTGATGCATCCCACCACTGCTGTATCATCTGCAAACTTTACAATGTGACAGCATGGATGGGTAGCTGCACAATCATACTTGAGCAGAGTGAACAGGAGGGGGCTCAACACACATCCCTGAGGAGAGCCAATGCTGAGGGTTATGGTGGAGGAGGAGAAGTTGTGGATCCTCACTGACTGTGGTCTGTTTGTTAAGAAGTCTATGACCCAGTTGCAAATGGAGGGGCTTAGTCCTAGTGTGAATAGTTTGTCCATCAGGGTTTGAGGGATCATGGTGATGAAGGCAGACATGAAGTCCACAAAGAGCAAACAGACGTAAGAGTCCTTCTGCTCCAGGTGGGTGAGAGCAGTGTGGACCACAGAGGAGATGGCGTTGGGAGAGCTGTTGCCTTTTTTGAGAAGACAGCAGAATCAAATCCCAACGAGGAGCCTTTCTGGGTGGAGTTTGCATGTTCTCTCCGTGCATGTGTGGGTTTTTACAGGTACTCCAGTTTTCTCCCACAGAACAAAAACATGCATGTTAGGCTGATTCATTGGTAACTCTAAATTGTCTCTAGGTGTGAGTGAGAGAGAGTGAATGGTTGTTTGTCTCTATATGTCCCTGTGATGGACTGGAGACCTGTCCAGGGGAGTCCCCCACCCCTCACATAGTGACAGATGGAAGTGGGCACCAGCTGCTCTGTGACCTGAAGGAAAATCATAAATGCTTATTCAGCATTCACACTATTTATTTCCCTTATTATTATTTTTTTAACTATGTTTTGCATCTAACAACTTCTGCATATTTTGTTTGTTGTAAATTATTCTTTCTGAAAATCAAAATGTTCAACTCATTCTTGAGCTGAGTGGTCTGACCTTTGTTTTTTGTTTTTTTTAATTAAAATATTAAATGTTTGTTGTTGTTGTTTTTTTGTTTCAAATATTTTCTAGAAATATGCCAAGAGCTCCTAATTTCTTCAGAAATTTTATTTTAGAAATCTGCTTCAACATTTTATTTTTGCCTTTGTATTCCAGTTTTATATTTTAGTCACTGTTTTCCACTTTAGCTAACTTTTTGCTTCGTTGGGCTTTTAGCTAACATTTTTCTAAATTTGATTTACTTCTTTTTGTTTTTAGCCAGTGTTTTGCATTTTAGCTAATGTTCTGCTGCTTTTAGCCAATGTTTTGCTTGTTTTATCTGTTAGCTAGGCTTTTGCTACTTTTGTTTTTTAGCTAACATTTAGTAACCTTTAAAACTTACCTTGTTTCTTTTAACTTTAAGCTAGTGTTCACCTTTTTAGCATATGTTCATTTTTTCAGCTTTAACAACACAATTTAAGCTTTTTTTGACAAATTTCAGCCGTCATTCAGTTGTCAACACACAACTTTTTCACAGAAAATGCTCTTCCTCAAGTTTCTGTAAACCTTATGATTAGCTTTTTTCGTTTCACAAAAGGTACAAAAACATATTAAAGGTGTAAAATGTATTTTTTTGCTGAATAATTAAATCTTTAAATCTTTTTATGACTGTTAAATCTTTAGCTTTCTTTCTGGCTCACAGTGTTCCCTCGTTTCACCCTGCAGGGTCTCAGCAGCCTCTTTAGTTCCCTAAAAGTGATCCGCCTGCTGCGTTTGGGCCGAGTGGCCCGGAAACTGGACCACTACCTGGAGTACGGGGCAGCCGTTCTGGTCCTACTGGTGTGTGTCTTCGGCCTGGTGGCCCACTGGCTCGCCTGCATCTGGTACAGCATCGGGGACCATGAGGTCATCGATGAGACCACCAACAGCATCAAGACTGACAGCTGGCTCTACCAGTTGGCCATGAGCATCGGGACGCCTTACCGCTACAACACCAGTGGAACAGGCCAGTGGGAAGGGGGTCCCAGCAAGGACACCCTGTACATATCTTCTCTCTACTTCACCATGACCAGTCTCACAACCATCGGATTTGGAAACATTGCTCCGACAACAGACGGCGAGAAGATTTTCTCTGTGGCGATGATGATGGTGGGCTGTAAGTACTCATTAGAGCATCTTTCAGTGATGTTAAAGATGAGCTGAAGTGGAAACAAATCAAATACGTCTGACATTGCACAACAAAACCATTGAGATCAGCAGCTGCAAAACAATACAAGCAGTTCTGTTTCACTCTGAATGGACTCTAAAGAAAGGAAAAAATGTGGATTCTTTTGCAAAAAGTCTCATTCGTGCATTTATAACGTTCAGTGTGGATACACTTGAACACCCTTCACAGTCCAGCTGGGTAAGAAACAGCTGCCGCCATAACAATCTTTAGTTTTCATGCTGAAGATGTGAACACATGAGTCTCATGTTGCTGCCATCAGTATGTGACTGGTTGTGCACATAATGCATGCATGCAGGTAATTTTATTTAGGCCATAAAGCAATAGTTCAGACAAGCAACATTTCTGACAGAAGTGCTACAGCTAACTGCTGCTGCCTCTATTAGCATTTGCACAAAACAGCAAAATCATTTATAAATAATTTAATAATGCAACTTTGACAGCAGTTTAGATGTTTGTAAAAAATATATTTACATGAACTATATGTTTTTTTTTTATTATTATTTGAGTTGTTTCAAGATGCAGCAACATTTTTTTTTTTTTTTTTGCCTTTGACCTCACACGGATCAGCCGTTTGCTCGTTAATTCAATTAGAACAAGATAAACCACAATTCTTGTGAAAATTCAGTGTGGATGCTGGGTACTGAATGACTCCTAAATTTTACTGAAAAAGCTGAATCTGAGTTGTTAAACCTAAAAAAAAAAAACAGCTCTAGTTAAAAGTTAAAATAAAAAAACTGAAGGTAGAAGTCAAAAGTACTAAAAGTATACAAAAAAAGCCTTACAAAAATCTAAAAGTAGCAAAATGCAAACTAAAAGTAGCAACCTACTATCTAAATTTTAAAAGTAACAAAAGGCTAACTAATATTCTTTGGAGGAAATCTTTGTAAAGAAAGTAAAAACTTTTCAGAAGTATAAAAGTTACAACAAATGAAAGTTGTAACATTCACCTCCAGGAGGAGCACAAAGTGTGCATGACTTAAAAAATAACATACGGGAAAAGATAAAACAGAAAACAAATGTGTTATTAACCATTAATAAATTTGATTTCTCCAAACTGAAGCTATTCAAAGAGCCATCTACAACAGGTAAGATAATAATTGTTCATAAAAAATGAACTATACCACAAAAGCCCTGCTTTAGTAATGACAGGCATTTGCTTTGATTAAGTGAAATAATTATAACTCCCTGACGACACAAGCAGATGGAGTCATCAAGGTTCAGATAAAGAATCCAACAATGTTCAGTCAGGTCATGTGGACAGTTTCTGTTTTTGTTGAGAGACGTCCCACCCTCCATCCAAAGGGCTTCATCAGTCTGAGGAGTCACAAACTGTTTTCTCCACTAAGCAGCACACTCCTACAGTGGACCATCTTATCACCAACAAACTGGTTGGTCCACTGTAGGAGTGTGCTGCTTAGTGGGGAAAACAGTTTGTGACTCCTCAGACTGATGAAGCCCTTTGGATGGAGGGTGAAATGTCTCTCAGCAAAAATCGAAACTGTCCACATGACCTGACTGAACATTGTTGGAACCAAATGGGAGTATTTTCCTCTTTTGTGCCATTTACTTTTCACAGTTTGAACCTCAGCAGAAAGTTTAGGACTTTTTTGTTGATAAGAAGTGACACATGCAGCGTCCATCATAATGTCTGTCTGAAGGTTCTTGATCTTATCAGAAAAGCTTAGAGTTAATTCTCCAACACTTAAAATATTTCCCACAATTCTATGCCTTCTTAAAAAAAAAATTCAAGGTGTGTTTGGTTCATTCTTAGCTCAAGACCTAAATATCTTACAAATATATGATACATGTGAAAAAGTATGTGTAACAGGCATTTCTTTAGCTGCATTTCTACATTCTGTTAGTGCTGAGATGCATTTCTACCAGGATACGACCGACTGTATGACGCTTGTGTCTCAGAGGCGAACAGTATTACACAACATGTACTGTACTGTTGTGTAACATTACTGGTGTCTCACAGCACAGAAGCGCTATTTTACTTACATAACAGTAAAAATAGAATTAACTCGGGAATGTAAATTGACTAAATTCATCTAAATATAACTAACACTTCTGTCCAATTAAAAATAGGTTAATTTACGCCCAAATTAGTTTACCTGTCAGTTTATGTTGGATTTGTATTAACATGGGTGGCACGGTGACGCAGTTGGTAGAGCTGCTGCCTCTCAGTGAGCAGGTCGCTGGTTCAAATCCCGGCCAGGGGCCTCTCTGGGTGGAGTTTGCTTGTGATGGACTGGCGATCGGTCCAGGGTGTACCCCGCCTCTCGCACAGTGATAGTTAAACATGGGCACCAGTGAGCCCTGCACCCCAAAAAGGAAGAAGAGGTAAATGGATGGATGAATAATGCAACTATGTTAAACTGCCACACATAAATAGAAATATATATTTCCCTGCCAGCGATTTTTTTATTTAACCTCTCACTGATAGAATAAGAGCTTTACCTTTGACCTTTGTTGGCTCTAAAACAGCATGAAAAGTGATGCAATAAAGTCCCCGAGAACTCAGGAAGTGACAGTCACACTCGGAGGATTTTATTTTTTTTACCGTGGAAAAGAAAACACCCATTAATCTGATGGTGCCCCGATCACAGAAACCTCTCTCAGTCACTCTGTCGTGTCAGTTTCAGCCGTAAGTGATGAATCTCCTGCTACAGATACGGTAATTATGTGTTAGCAGAGAGCATTTGAAGAAACGGAGAGTTGCCTGCAGGCTGGAGGGAAGTAAGTGGACAATGAGCCATCACGTTAGATCTGCATCCTAACCTCTGTGATCCTGCTGAGGAGAGCGGAGACGGTTTCTCCTCGACTGGGTAAAAACCTCATGATATGAGATGCTGACTGACTCTTTGAGGTCACTGCAGCTCGGCACTCTTACTGAGGAAGCGTGCAAAATAAATGTATCATAAAGACTTAATGCACCGCTCGCTCTCGCTCTGGCTGTGTAGTAATTTTTCTTTAAAAATGTTCTATAAACTACCGTTACTGCATAAAATGTTATTTGAAACTATGAGGTCTGTAGAGCAGTCAAATCACATTTGTTCACATAGAAATCCAAATATTCACCGAGGCTTTTATTTCCTTGAATTATGACACTTAAAATCCTTAATTTACTTTGATGTTAAAGGGAAAGTTCAGATCTTTCCAAGTAAATATTTGTGGAAAAAGTTGTAAACATCTCCCATCAAACCTATATAACTTTAAGATCCACAACTTCAGTTTTGTCATAATGCTAACACTAGTTTATGAACTCTTGCACCATCATCCCATTGCACCGTTGTTCAAGCGTAACCCTAAACCAGAGATGCTACAGCTAGCAGATGCAACTATTTATGCTTATAAATAGCCATAATAATTTATTGAAATAATCAAATAATGCTTTAAATTGGTTTTTTTTTTATACTTTAAAGGCAGAGAGTTGCATTCAAAGTGGCCTCTTGTACAAAATATTACAAGAATTGTTGAAGTGAAGCCCAAGATAAATTAAAACACAAATAACATCTTTAGGTTAAAACTGAGCTCATAAAAAAGGATTTTTAGAAACTGTTGTGCCGATTGTAATGAAAATATGAGGCAATGGTTAACTTACTAACCTTAATACAGCAAGGGTGTCTCATTCTTCTTCAACACACTCTCTTCTGTCCTACTGTCACAGCAGTGCCATCTAGTGTCAAGAAGTAAGAACAGCAACAGAACATGAACACATTCTCTGTGTAGACATCACGCCTGCTACATGCTTGGCAACAAATGTTGATATTTGTTCTCAATGTCGCGGATAAGAAACAAAAATGTTTTTGTTCTTGTACCGCCTCCAGGATCTGGTTCTGTGCACAAGTTGCTGGCAGAACCTTTTGCTCGTATGGGGTATGTGCCAAGTATTGTGTGACAGGTCAGAACTCCGTGGGCGTGTTTATGTTGAAAACCAGCTGCAGTGCACCTCTCTCATTTCACTTCCACTGCTCTGCAAAGGAGCAACTGGCCAGAACTGTTAGAAAATACAGCCATCTTTACAGCTGTTCCAGCAAAACTTCTAAAGACTGTGGAATAAATCTGGCGATAGCACAATTTTTGTGCACGGAGGAGACTGTGAAAACACAGCAGATCTCGTCGCTGTGCAAGTTGGGAGGGAGTGCACCTTGGCTGTCTGAAGTGGTGGGAGTCTCTACGTGACAAGGGGTTCTCCCTGGTTAACAACAAAAATACCAGAGCTCCCTCCTCCATCGTCAACTGAAAGTAAACAGCCACTCTGCCAAGCGTGCTCTCACTGTGTAGATGTTTCTGTTTGCACGTGACATGTGCTGCAGTAGGAGTCATCTCCAGTTTGTCTTTAGACTATAAAAATGCCCATGCAAAAAAAAAAAAAAAAAAAAGTCTCATAGCTACATCAGCAAGAACAGATGTCTTATGTCTTGTTAAGTATAGCAGCCCTAACAACACAAATGGAACATCATGCTAAAGACAGTCAGGGTAGCAAGCAAAGTTCGAACTGTGCTGCTTGGCCACAATCATGAAAATATGTTTACAGTAGACATGCTGGATGTGAACAAACATGCACTTTTTGGTTGTTAAGACTTTGTTGCTCTCAGACCTTATTATGACACTAACCTGTGTTTGTTCTTGCAGCACTGCTATATGCAACCATCTTTGGAAACGTCACCACCATCTTCCAGCAGATGTACACCAACACCAACAGATACCACGAGATGCTCAACAACGTGCGAGACTTCCTCAAGCTGTACCAGGTTCCCAAAGGTCTGAGCGAGCGCGTCATGGACTTCATCGTCTCCACCTGGGCCATGTCTAAAGGCATCGACACCGACAAGGTAGCCGCTGTTCTGGCACGCACAGCAGAGTTACAGCAGTTTAGTCTTGAAATGGTAAAAACAAAAGAAAGTTGGGTTTTTCTCAAACACAAAACATCATTCATTTAATCCAGTGGTTCCTAACTCTGGTCCTTGAGGAACACCATCCTGCATGTTTTAGTTGTTTCTCTGTTCCAACACACCTGATTAATTGGTTTAATTACTTCCTTGAGTTCGGCAGAAGCCTGTTAATCACCATTTCATTCAAATCAGGTGTTGGAGCAGAGGAACAACAGGGTGGTGTTCCTCAGGGACCAAGGTTGGGAACCACTGAAATCCATGAGGAACTCTGGAATATTATTTCAGGACATCCCCCCCCCCCCCTATTTTCAGTGGGGATAATTTGATACAAATGAGACAAATCACTTTAGAATATTAAAAATAAACATTAAATTTAACTGTGAAATAAAATATACAAACATTTACTTTGATGTAGAGCTACTAGAACAAACATAGGATCATGAATATCAGAATCTGAAAATAAAAACTAAATGAGTGAGGCGTTGAAACAGATGTGTGCTCAGAGTTTACTTCATCTCCATTTATAAAACATTTTAAAAAGTTCTTGGTTCTGTGAAGTTATCATCCATCAGTATCTGAGCTGCAGTAGAGAACAGGCAGAATGTGTTTTACATGTGTTATAGTGGACCGTTTCCCATCATGGCCAGCCGTCAGTGTAAAACGTCATTGTCTGATCCTGAAGTAAACCAACGAAATCTGTAAAGTTTACTTGAGTTGTTTCAGATGGATGAAATCTGCTCTGAATTTGTTATTTTGAATTCTAAAAGATTCCTCTCTGATTCTTCAAAATGTGAGTTTACTCTGACTACTGCAGGTAAGATACTGAATACTAATAGATATTTCACCCTGTTTCAAAAAGTACAAACCATGCCTTTAGAATTTGCCCTTACACAAGGGCAGCCACGGCCCGCAGCCACCTCGGTAAAATGTTTTAATTGGAGGAGGCCTTTGTAAAATTCAACTTGTTTTTGCATAATAATTTAAAGTCAAAATGTGCTTTTTTATTCATTAAATAACTGATGCAAAAGGCGAGTGTGACTGCTGATGGTTGAAGATTGTTGCAGTCATGGTTTACAATCTGAAAATGAAAGATTGTGCAGCTTTGAAAGAAATAAAAACATTTATTTTGAAAGTTTTACAGATCACTCTGATGATCAAGCACTAAAGTTCATGCTCAATAATCCAGGTACAAATCCAACAATGTCAGGTCATCTGGATGGTTACTTTCTTTTATTAAATTTTTTTTTGCTGAGACGTTTCGTCTTTCATCCAAAGGACTTCTTCAGCAAAACGTCTCAGCAAACAGAACAAAAAAAAAAAAGAAACCATCCAGATTACCTGACTGAACATTGTTGGATTTGTACCTGGATTATCGAGCATGAACTTTGGTATCACTCTGGTTTATTTCACATTCACAAAAAGTCTGAAGTGTCCCACATTAAACATAAATCCTAATGATGCCCGTTTTTGTTTGCCAAATCTCCTCGTCTCCCTCAGGTCCTCTCCATTTGTCCCAAAGACATGCGTGCAGACATCTGTGTGCATCTCAACAGGCAGGTGTTCAACGACCATCCGGCGTTCCGCTTGGCGAGTGACGGCTGTTTACGCTCCCTCGCTGTGGAGTTTCAGACCACCCACTGCGCACCTGGAGACCTCATTTTCCACATCGGAGAGAGTGTTGATACGCTCTGCTTTGTCGTCTCTGGTTCCCTCGAAGTCATCCAGGATGATGAGGTCATTGCCATACTAGGTAATCCAGCTTGTTCAGACAAAAATGACTAATTTTACTGATTTAAGGCAAAAGAATCAGCTGATTTTTGGTACAGGAAATAAAGTCTGGCCATAATTGACAGGAGATTCTCGTGACTAATGAAAGGATGACGTGCGGCTCTCTCCAGGTAAAGGTGACGTGTTTGGGGACGTGTTCTGGAAGGAGACCACTCTGGCTCGAGCCTGTGCAAACGTCCGAGCGCTGACTTACTGTGATCTGCACGTCATCAGGAGGGAAGCTCTGCTGAGAGTGCTGGAGTTTTACACGGCATTTGCCAACTCGTTCTCGCGAAACCTCATCCTCACTTGTAATCTACGGAAACGGGTAAAAAAAATATTATCATACAGCTCTCATGTATTTTTAATTCATTAAACTTTTATGTGTTTGACAAGATGACAAGAAAATCATCCAGAACTTAAATAGATATTTAAGAGTGGGATTTTATGGAAATGTTATGAGCAATAAGTATCTTACCTGTTGTAGCTAGACCTTTGAGCAACCTCACAGCTAATGGCTAGTTTGAGCAGCATCAAAAAAAGGTGAATTGGTTAACAAACTATTTCATAAACTTTTATATTCCAGTTAATTTTGATTTACACACTTATTCTGGCATAAATAGAAAGATATTGATGCTTGAAGTGACCCAGAAGTGCTACAGCTAGCTACTGCTGCCACTATTAGCTATTGCAAAAGATTATAAAGTTCTATGTGAATAACCATTAAATTGATGGCAACTTACAGGTTTTTAAAACAAAGTTCATGTGAACTGCAACAAAAAATTAGAGATTGATGTTAAGTTGTTTTTTTTTATTTTTATTTTAAGTTATTTTAAGTTATACTAATCCACTTGGTCTCAGTCCCACGTGGATTAGCTATAGTCAATCTGGTCAGAAAAAAAATATTCTCCAAACCCATGTTGGTACCTCTTTACAATAAGGCTCCCCTTATAGCTAATAAATAGTATAGATATATTATTAATTCCTCTACAAATACTGCATTATAAGTATCTACAACAAATATTATATTCTAAAAAATATAGGTTTATAAATGTTTATTGTGCTTACAAAGTAGTAATTTAGTCTGAAATGTTTAATATAACAACTCTAGATGAACAGATTTGGCTCACTATTAGGCAAGAAACTGGTCAGTTTGTCTCTATCACCCTTAATTAATACATAACAAGCAGTTATTAATGATTTATAAAGTGTTTATAGAGGGATTAATAACGTATCTATAAACTATCCTGATACATGCTCAATAATCCAGGTAGAAAAATCCAAAAAAGTTCAATCTGGTCCTCTGGACATTCAAAAAAATTTTTTGAATGTCCAGAGGACCAGATTGAACTTTTTTGGGTATCTATAAACTATTTATTAGCCATCTAGGGGAGCCTTATTGTAAAGTGGTATCCAGATGTTATTTCAATCTAACAGGTAAGATGTTAATTGTTCCTAACCCTTCCACATAATCTGAACTGTAAATTAGGGATTTCGAATATTAATGTAATAATATAAAAGCCTTGGTATTGATTTCTATGAGAAAAGTATATTTGATGAAATGCCTTTATAACTGTTATCTAGTTTAAACACAGACTACTCTCACCTTACCGTCTTCTTACTCCAGCTGAGGCCCTAAAATGTTCTGATGTTCAGTCTTTAAAGCAAGCTGATGGTACCATTTTGTAAATTTACCCTTTAAGATCAACTTTTCATAAATTCTTAATTGACGTTTCCTTCAGGATCAAAATCAAATCTTGTGTGTGTTTTGGTCGGGAGTCGCTCAAAGTAGAAACTTCTGAGGCTGTAAAGCTTTGAAAACATCACATTTTGTGCCGGAGTTCCTCAGAGTTATAAATCCATTATGTAACCATTTTACAAAGAGCAGGAACGCAAACTCAGGAATATTAGAACCGTTCAAATACGAGTGAGTCAACAGAAACAGCTTCATAGAGGAAGTAACTGTGTTAAACTGTGGTTTCTAATATTTTTAAATAACTCTAATTTGATTTTCTGTTTTCTTCCTGTGCTCTTCTTGGGGAAAAAAAAATCTTAAATCGAATTAAGTAAAATCACTCGGGGTCGATGAAGCAGCTCTAAATCTAAACAAATGGCTTTGAGTTGAAAGATTTATGACTCTTCAAACATTTTGCATGAATATTATACCATCTATTATTAATCTGTGGAGCTTTGGAGACTTTTTAGTTTGCCTAAGCTTAAATTTCACTCCAACCACCCCTTTAGCTGCTGCGAATTTAATTTGCTTTCCTGTGCACAAAAACAAAAAAGACTGACTCCATGAAAACATAAGGTGATGCTTAAAATGTACAAGAGGCAGAGGTTTGCAAACCTCTTAGATGCTATATTTAATTAAAAACATTATTTGGGTAAAAAAAAAATCAAATGAGGTCAAACTCAAAGTGAGCAGTGAATCGACATACATTTATTTATTTTTTTATGGCAGCTAATAAGGCATTATTCATCCCTCTGTGGTTCAAGTTTTGTCCTCTCACTCCTACGTTCATCATGTTTTTCAAGTATTGACAAACTATCCCTTTCTTCATACGCAGACTTTCTATTTTTCAGGTAATTTTCAGAAAGATTGCCGATGTGAAGCGAGAGAAGGAGCGCCAGAAGAGCGAGGTGGCGCTCTCCATCCCGGAGGATCACCCAGTTCGCAAGTTGTTCCAGAGGTTCAAGCAGCAGAGAGACTCGCAGACCTTGGATCAGAACTGTGTGCAGGTGGAGCCGGAGCATCACCCGCACGCCGACTCAAACTCCTGCAACCAGTGTCAGAGTGTATCCTCGCAGCAGGAGAACAACAAACCCTCTACAGGAGGAGGGAGCGTGAGCGACGTGGCCATGCCTCAACAAGTGTTTGTTGACACTGGAAGGTCAGAGCAAAGCTGCACGCAAGCGACTGTGGAGTCGAAACTGAGGCCGTGTGCAGAGAATCGGCTCTGTCAGAGGGGCAGTGGTGGTGCAGGTGCAGGGGGAGCTGCAGGGCGTGGTAACAGCAGCAAAAGTGTCCGAGGGTGGGCAAAATTTAAGAGCGCCATGTCTGCTGAACCGTCACTTCCTGCTGTGGAGCAGGAGAAGGAGACACAGAAAGCAGAGGAGTGGCTAAATGCCACGCGGCCCATAGAAGTGTGTGTAGCTGCCATAAAGAGCCAGGAGTCAGATGAGAGTGGACAGCTGGGGGGCAACACAACTGGGGAGGCAGGAGAAGAAAGTAGCGTCCTGCACAAAACTGTTTCCTGCGACAGCGGCATCACAAAGAGCGACCTGCGCATCGACCGAGCCGGAGATTCAAGAAGTTCCTTTGAGCGAAGCCCAATGGAAAAAAGTCCACTGGAGAGGAGTCCGATTGAGCACAGCCTCGGGGTTTACACTGAGGTCTCCATGAGACAGTCCTTCCTCCAGCCCGTGTCCGAACAGTCCCTGCTCCATGTGATGCTGCAGGAGGCCAAGCTGGAGCTGAAGGGAGACATTAAGAAACTGAGCAGCCAGCTGTTGCTGCTGGAATCGCAGGTGAGCGAGATCCTCAGGCTGCTGTCAACGAAAAGGAGACTGTCGCTGCCTCCGACTCCTTCAAAACCGAGAATAAAACGGCACGACTCGGGCAGTGCCTCCAGACTCGTTGCACCCAAAGCAGAAGAGGAGACGTTTGAATTTCCTCACGAATGACACGAGAACCAGATCTAGATAAGATAAACAACCTGCATGACCTGCTGGACTCAAAGACGCTTCTAGCATTAGAAGCTTGACTGCATGCTAAAAAAACAAAACAAAATGTTAGCATCAAATTCCTGAAATTCAGTAGAACTTCAACATGCCAGATGTTTTATGGCTGTGTTTGACTTTTGAGAATGCAAACAAGTAGCAGAAACAAATAATGAACAAGCAAGTTATGAAAGCAACAAATGATAATGCTTGGAAATTAAGGGGCTTGTTGAAACGTGCTTACCTGAGGAAACAAACTGTTAAAGGAGACATATTATAGAGGAAAATTATATTTTTGCTTCTTGAAGGCATTCAAGTGTCTAAATTCACACTCTTTGCAAAACTTCTAAAATTGCCCAGTCCCTCAATGACTTTCTGAATTCTATCTTCTAAGCTCCACCCCCAAAAAAGCCCCTGCCACAGACTCCACCCCCAAAAATTGGCAACTACAAACAGGGCTTTTTCAGGTAACTCAGAAAGGTCCTTTAATATGTTTCCTCTGGATCAATTCTATGCTATGCTTCATGTTATTATTTTGGCAATCTTTACATTGAGGCCAATTTTAATTCCCGACCCTTAATTCGACATTGCAGAATAATGGTTGAAATACTCCACTGTGACTTTGGATGCTTCTTTAAAAAGTCAGTACACCATCAGCTGTTGCTAGTTCCCTTTATATAAACAGATGTAATGTTGTATGCCCATTTAGGAAGTGTAAAACCAGTTATCAAGCCTGCTAGACTCACATGAACTGTTTTTATGCTTGATAGGAAAAAAAAAGACTTTTTCAAATATAATAGACAAATGATTATGCATTGGTGATACGACAGTAAAATATTTTTAACATAAAAATATAGTATGACAGCATATATTATATTGGAATACATTAAACTAAATATCCGTTAAGCTCATTTTTGGTCTTCCTCTGGGTCTCCTGCTGGAAATTGTCCAGAAACCCTCAAAGGGAGGCATCCTGATCAAATGCCTGAGCCACCTCAACTGACTTCTTTTACTGTGGAGGGGCAGCAGTTGTATTTCAGGCTCCCCCTGGATGATGGAGCGCCTCACCCTGTTTCTAAAGCAACTCATACCTCTTTATTTTAAAAGTCACTCCTTCAGAAATTTTATTTTTGAAGGGTAGGAAATTCCTGCTTCACTCTCTTTCGCTTCAAAAAGGATTGTGAAATGGGATTCAGTCTTACTTTCCTGATGTCAGCTTCCACATTTACTCTTTTAAAAAATCACCTGTAGATTTTATTTTCTTTATGACATGCTCGCGCTTCATCGAAAATAAAAGGATCTTTGTTATTGAGAGTGGGGCTCACTGAAGACCTCACTCAAACACTATATTTAACATATCAACCTCTTTGTCTCATGTGTTATTTGTTCATCCTCACAGAACAAAAGTCTCTGGAGTTTAAGTAAATACATGTGCCTTACATTATTAAAGCCTCGTTAAGATGTATTATATTAGAAACCGTTTTACTGTTCTGTTAAAGGATTTTTCCCAAAACTATTGTTGAATTATAAATTACAACAACTGTCAATACAACTGGAACCATAAGATGATTGAACAATATTTGTAATTTCTTGCATTTATTTATTGAACTGTTCAAAAAAATGAACTAATGCATTCATGGCAATGCAATATTGTATTTTTTTTTTTTTTTTATTGAAAGGGATGTGAATATTTTAGCAGATAATTACAGCACAGTCACTGTATATTTCACCGTGTAATTTTTCTCAGGTATATTAATATCTTTTAAACGCTCATAGGTACCATGATAACTATCTGTGTGGCTGTGGATTACCTTAGACCGACCTGTGAGGACGTCAGCATGTTAGTCGATTTAATGCATTTAGTTCGGACATGTTTAACCACTGTGCATGCATGTGAGGAAACCTGAATAATGAAAACTGATGCCTGCTCTCCATCTGTTGTTTGCTTTCTTATGTAACACGTCTTTGTCTTAGGAAAACTACAACATGCAAACTACGTTACACAAGGAGTTTTTATGGTCACTTAATAAATTAAAGCTTTTGGTTTAGTAAAAGAGAAGCAGTTAGCCTGTAAATCCACCTGACAGAGGCTTCTTTTGTGGGATTAAATTTAAAGAACACATTAGCCTTTCGTTGCTTTGCTTCTTCTCTTTTCTTAAATAGTCCATTTCACTCAGATTTTTGTATTTTTTTAAAAGTCATCTAAAACAAATGTGACGTACAGTTTCCCATCTTTTTGTTTTGCATATTGTTTAATTTTATGTTTTGCATTAAATAAATGAACTTTTTTTTTCTATTTTCTGCAAAACTTTTTTCACTCTCATCAATAAATGTGGTAACAATCAAAACTCATGCAGGATCTTGTAGATTTAGCTTATCTTAAGGTTTTAAGGTAATTTCACCACATGAGTTCAGTTTGATCCCACACAAAGTTCATTTTTAATAAAGACAAAAACCTCTGTTAAATTTTCAGACCTGGCTATGTGTTCTCTTGTAAATGACGGTTTGCATGACGTTGATTCTGACATTTGCTGGTGATCAAATGAAGCAACAATTGTTTATTAAGAATTTCACACAAACGTTCACAAAATTCCTTTAAAGCCTAAACCCAAGACAAGACGAAGTTGTGTTGTCATGGGCAATTCATGTCATTCATGCTGAACCACCTTTGGCATACCTTTTAAATTTCAATTTATTTTATTTTGCATTAAATATATTGAAACTTTTTATCATTTCTCTTAAGTTTACATATATATATATATATAAAACTATTTGCATATACCTGCCTAACCCTTTGCATCCCGATATGAGGACAGTGGCTCAGTTGTACCACAATATTTGATTCTGTTTAGCTTGTTTTCCATATTCAGCAAAGCCTTTTGGTTTTTTTTTAAATTGTATTTGTTAAAATAAAATATATATGTTTCTATATTTTACTACTCTAAAAATGTGCACACACACAAAAAAAAAAAGCCACTCAGGAGGATAACTGTCAGGTCTGTGGATGGGTCAGAAACATCTTATTAAAGTGTGGCCTTTGACCCCCTTGGCTCCTCTTTGGTGACGCGCCATACACGCCACAAAGATAAATTCATGTCCAATGTGTCTTTTTTGTCTTTCCATTTGTGAAAAATAAAAAAAAATAAACTTTTACTAGTTCTGTTGCAGCAAAAGTCCATAACAGTAAAAGTCTAGGGCATTTTAACGAGAGGTTTTAAAAGCTAAAATCGAATTTAAAATAGTCAAATACTATATGCGTATTTGTACATAAACACGAAAGTAAATGTGTAGATACAGTAGTAAATTCAATTTTTTTCATGTCCTTGAACGTCTCACGCAGCCCTCCACACCGGCAGGTGGCGCTAACGTGCCGCCTCAGTGAGTCTGTGTCGATTCACAGGAAAAATAATTAAAAATACTGATTCGTGCAGAAGTTTGTCGCCTAGAACAAAGAACCCAGGGATCAGGTAAACATTTACTCTTTCTGCTGGCGTTGTGTTGACGAAACCATCGCTGTCTGTTGGCGTAGTTTTACTGATTTACACGATTTTTTTGCGCTTGACTCACACAACTTTTAAAAATCTTTAAAATATTTAATATTCCCGTTAGCTTATGCATGAAATGTCAAAACTGCACTGTCAGTTTCTTGTAAATGGCAAAAGATTTGTATGGATTTATAATGTAGTTTATACAAAAGTCCTACAGTCATCAAAGTTAGCTTGAATTTTTCAAATTAAAAGTTAATTTTGGCTCTGCTGTTTGAAGCCGTTGCTGCATTCATGAATCACTTTTATAAATCCTGAGGACAAATGACAAACTGAGTGAACTCAAAGTGAGAATTGAGCTGTCAAAGCTCCAGCATTTCTGTAATTTGTCTGGAAACGTTCATGTTATTTCTGTTTGGTCAGTTCTCAGATGGAGCTGCAGCTTCCACCCCATGAAGGAGACGAGCTCTTTGTGGTGGACATGCACACAGGAGGAGAACCTCTACGCATCATCATCAGCGGCTACCCAGAGGTCAAAGGTGACAGTGTGCTCTCCAAGCGCCGCTATGCCCGGGACTACCTGGACCACTTCAGGAGGGTGCTGATGTTCGAGCCACGGGGACACTACGACATGTACGGAGCCCTGGTGGTGGACAGCGAGCTCCCCGAGGCTCACCTGGCCGTGCTGTTCCTGCACAACGAGGGTTACAGCACCATGTGTGGACACGCCATCATCGCACTGGGACGCTTCGCCGTGGACTACAAACTGGTGAAGGAACCGCAGTCCCCGGAGACACAGGTGAACATCCACTGTCCCTGTGGTCTGGTGAAGGTGTTCGTTGAGTACTCCGACGGGAAAACGGGGGGCGTGAGGTTTCAGAGCGTGCCGGCGTTTGCATTTGCGACAGGTAGGAGACTCATCTTTGTTTGTTTATTCTCCTCAGGTGGTTTTATAACCTGCAGGACTGATGAAATGACTTTACACCAGATGTGGCTGTGGCGGTGGAGGGATTTGGAGAGGTGATGGTGGACATCAGCTATGGAGGAGCTTTTTACGCCTTCGTTGATGCTCACAGGTTTGGCCTGGAAGTGACAAAGTCCAGGACTCGAGATCTTGTAGACGCAGCAACAGCGGTGACCAAAGCAGTGAAAGCTCAGGTAGGAGGGTTGCCACATTTCTGTATTTGCAACTTAAAAAAAAAAAAATCATTTTCGTTTCAATTTCCTTTAATTTACTCATTTATCTGCACCTTAAACCATGCCCATCCCAAAAAAGGTGGGCAGGATTCAAACCTTTATTAACAGCTTTGTTTTTCCCTTTTCTTCTTATCGTCACTCGTATAGGTGAAGTTGCATCATCCCACCAGTGATGATCTGGCCTTTCTCTATGGCACCATCCTCACAGACGGCAAAGATGATTACTCCTCTGAACCCACGGCCAATATCTGTGTGTTTGCAGAGGCTCAGGTAGTGTGCAGTGATAAAGCTGCTGTGTGTCTGAGCTAAATATGCTAAAGTTCGCTGGACTCGTTCTTGTAAACTAATGAATTAAAACTCACCTAATGGTCAGCAAATAAACCCAGAGTTCTAGTTGCTTCATGCGGAGCAGCTGGATTCTGTCACAGTTTGGGTTAGGGTGCGTCCAGTTTTCTCCTTTTTTATAGTATTTACCTTTGACAAGCAACAAACCGATTTAAAAACATTTTTCATTGATTTCATCAACTTTTCATAAACTACACTAAATAACAGAGAGGACAGATGAATACTGATCAAGAGAAATTTAAAAGTAACAACAAAAAAAAGTTGTTAAAAACGTAAAAGCAAGAGAACCAGCGAGGTTATTCTCTGGTGATGGTCATTTGTTTAAATCACGTGTCCTCAGGTGGACCGAAGCCCAACCGGCTCAGGTGTCACAGCTCGAGTGGCTCTTCAGTACCACAAAGGTCTCATCCAGCTGAACCAGACCAGGACGTTTCAGAGCGGAGCCACAGGATCCGGGTTCACAGGAAAAGCCGTCCAGGTATCAGAAACCTTGTTCATTTACAGGACAAACAGGTGTTTTAAGTGCGTCTCATCAGACCTCATTATATTATAGTACGTACCAACATACAAACCTTTCATGCTCAAATCTTAGATAAAACTGTGTTGTTGACCTAATAATGCCCCTTTTGATTAAACCTGATCATGCACATTCATGTAATGTGATATGTTGCATGAGCTGTTACCTAATGTGAACGAGGGTCAGCTACTACCACACCGAACTTTAGCTCAGTATCTGTAAAGTTGAAAGTTTGACATTTTTGATTGTACTACAATTGCTTTGCTGCCACCTTGCATCAAATTAACTCCAAAAGTTAATCAGTTGTAGATGTCAACCAGAAGATTACGTTCTGAACATCTGTTCGGCGTTTTGTAAACTACTTTGCTGTGTTTTCAGTTTAACTGTAATAAGTTATCTGTGATCAGTTCCTGAAAAATATAAGATTTTTTCACATTTAGCCAGCAGCTCATTTGAATCAGTCATTTTAAAACACACGATAAAGCCAATCAGCACTTCAAACAGATAATAAATACTAAATATTAAACCCAACAAAGATCAGCGTCGCGACCAAAACATCAATTTTGTCAGAAAATAAATAAAGACGCTGCACGAGTTTAAACACTGTTACATTAATGCTGACAGGACAAGTTTAAGAGTTTGTCTTTGGTTTGCTGCTCTCAGTCAATCAGATGTTTGACACAAATCGAGCTACTCTTGAGGCCACGCCCCTTTGTTTGCTCAAGAGGTCCAAGCAGCTGAAAGTTCGGCTGTGTCATCAACTAAAGTTCAAAGGTCACTTTGAGATAAAGTCACACTGCCCTCAGATACACAAAAATAAAATAATCTCTGGAGAACAGGCTTTTGATAAAGAACAAAGAAAAATTTAGTGTAAAACAGATGTTTTTTTTCTTTCAGCTGCCACTTCCTGTAAGTTGAGTCGCTTCAAATCACGTCAAACTAAATTAAATTTGACAAAAATGTCGATGTAAAATACATTTGTAATAAATATTCCATTTGTTTTCTTTTGAAACGAGTGGTTTGTATAAAAAGCTTTGACCTGAACGCTGCCCGTTTTCATTGAGTGGTCCCCACAACGCTTCTGTAGCGGTCAGAGGTGAACTTACACACTTATTTTTAACGTTACCCTCCAGGAGACCGTGTGCGGAGACTTCAAGGCCGTCGTGGTGGAAGTGGCGGGCAGAGCTTTTTATACCGGAGTTTCACGCTTCGTGCAGGAACCAGAAGATGAGCTGAAGCACGGCTTTCTGCTGAAGTGAGCACCTTTGAACAAACTGGTCTTTATTTAAAACTCACATTTTAAATATTAAAAAGATAAGAAGTGCTTTTGTTGTAGCAGTAAAAAAAACAAACTCGCGTGTTTAAGTAGACTTGGGCTCATTTTCTATGAGTTTTTCTTTTTACGGTTTTATTAAACCAAAATTAAGTCTAAATAAATTGAATAAAAATGTATTTTACATTTTAATTCGGCTGGGAAAGACAATAAAAAATGTCTTTAACAACTTGTAGCAGGAAAAAAAAACAATATTCCTGATTTGTTGCATCTTTATGATAATGAAATAAAGTTTATGTTCGTTGCTATTTGTAAAAGAGAAAATCTGGTTATTCTGTGGACGTTTAATTCAAGCTTAAATTAATTTTTGATAAGTTATTGACCACTAGAGGATGCCATTAGACTGGTTAACATGAACAACAGATTTTTCTCTTTTCTCTTTGAGAGTAAAGGTGGTCATTTCAACATTTTGATGTAATAAATGTAGTTTTAGTGTAAATAAAAAACAACCATGTTTCCTCCCGTTTATTATTAATAGATCATTGTACAATGGAAGGCAGTATTTAAATTATAAAAGTTCAGTGGAGGAGTGCGACACTGGATGGATTCACAGCTGAAGGGACAAATCAGAAGCTACTTTAGACCAGATTTTTCTTAACACTGTGTAAATCCAGCCAGTGTGCAGAAAACATATAATCTGTTCAGATGAATACAATAAAGGAGGGCGCTCTCGTCAGGGATGGGCGCGAAATTGTATTGCAAGAGCCGAGTTACTTGAATTGCATCTACCGTAATAATTCTACATTTCTATGTGCACATTTGAATGAATGTCGTCTGTGACACGAGCGTTCACAGAGGCTGCAGGTTAGACCCAGGCCTGTGAGAGCACCCACCCAACAATTAAAAATCAACAAAGTCAAGGCCAGCTCTTAGAAAACAAAATGCTCAAATGAAACATATGTATAAGAAATGCTGCTCGTTGATAAAGAACAGAAAAAAAGTGATGCAGTTGAAATCAAATCTAACGTGGCAGAGTCTCAGTCCCGGGATGTTTCTGGCTGCAGCAGAGTAAGTCTTTAGAGCGGCTCTCCATCTGTGAAATCAGTCTGTACAAATGGCCCTTCGATTTTTTTTAATGGTCCTAAAAGGACTAAGCATCCAGATCTGAAGGAGTCTAGAAGCTGCACGTTTCACTTTGTGCATAGATACTCCAGTACAAAACCTGTTCAACAATCATGAGCGAATCCCACGCCTGGAGGGACGCTCTTTTTCCAGCATGGCAGCCTCACCTGAACCATCGGAGGGGATTTGGTGAAACTTGATCAACTTTTGGCTTCTGCTCTGTCTCACATCAACAACTAAGAGGATAGAGTCTAAATGTTTAGTGTTTGAGGCTGTGGTTGGTTCAAGCTGAGCTGGGTGGTAGAGGATGAGGGCGCAGAGGAATGTGCGGGTCTGTTCGACCTGAAGACAAACCGGCGCAGAGGGAAAGGAGCGGGCAGAACCGATGGATGACGTCTAGAAGTTGAGCTTTGTGAGCGGTCGCTCCCTGCCCGAGTCGGAGTTCTGGTTGTTGAGCCGCTTGCGATTACGCTTCATCTTGGACAAGTCCTTGTCGAAGACCTCACCTGATCGCAGCGCAGACACCAGGTCATCAAACTCACCCCCGTCGTCCTCGCCGTTTGCTTTTGCTTTCCGGGCCTTCCGCTCCTTCTCCCTCTGTTCTTTCAGCTGCAACACACAATACATGGTACTTCAATGAAGGAGTCCCTCTGGAGTATGAAGGTATGGAAACATTACAACATTTTCAGAACAACTTCGTTTTTTCAGGTCAATTAGAAAAAAAAATCGTCTCACTAGATGTTTCTGGAATTAAATGGTGCGATCATAATTCTACTGGCTTAACTAAACAAAAATCCACTGTTCGACTTTTAAAAGCCCTGCTTTTTTGTACAGGTGTTGGTTCTTAGGTGCAACGTTTGAACAGAGACGATTTCAGTGTTTCCAGCGAAGCTACTTGCTGCTTTAGTAGCAGCTTTCTGGATAGATGTTTTTTTATAACTAAAAAGTGAAAAGTAAATAATTAAAAGTCTACTGTTTTGTTTAAAATAAGCTGTATCACTTGTGTAAGTTTAATGGGCTCAGTAATCCACACACCTGAGCTTCCATTTTGGCCCTTCTCTCCTCCTCCTCCTTGCGTTTTCTGATGTTCTCGTTTTCCTGCTGAGCCTCTGAGAACGACTGCAGGAACTGGTCGAAGATGCCAAAAAACTCGTCCGGCTGCATCTTGCCGGTGTCCTCCCCAAAGTGCTTCACCGCCCTGAGGAACTGTGGGAGCAAAGGGAAGACACATAAAGAAGCGCACATGGGGTTAAATTTACAGCAGGACTCCGCAGACACTTTCTGTCGTCTTACTGTTTTACAGGAGGCTCATTAGGATTCAGCTCTTTGAAATGGCAGCAGCCGTTGTGGCTTTGAAGCCCAAGTTAACCCAGATATGACCGGCTACTGATTAGAGCAGAGGTCTGAGACTGGAGCCAGGGTCCAAATTAACCCAATGTGTTTGTTGAGTGTTTTGCAGAGTCAGTTAAAAATAGGGACATCCAGATGTGAGATCACGCTGAGACTATGTTTAAAAAATGTGTTTTTACAGCAGCTCTGTGACACAATCCATCAGATGGGACAATTTAAAGGAGCTTAAAGCAGTCAGTTTAGTTTTGCCCCTGTTAAAAGTTTTATTAAAAAAAAATATATATATTTTTGAGACGTCCCTGGTTTTATTTGCATCCTGACGTTTTTATGCACGTGTTAACAAAACAAAAACACTGGGCTCTCGTTCCCAGCGATTAGAACAGAGGGCTACTGTAAACACAAAGACCTAACCGTGGGACAACCGTGGGTAAATGATTAACAAAATCTAATGGTTGCTACGTGATGCTCAGAAAGGCTAGGCTTTGGCCTTGCAGGAAGACAAACAGAAAACCAATATTAGGATATCAACTCTTAATTGACATGAACATTTAAAATTTTCCATGTTTCTTATTGTTCTTTAATGATGCTTTTGCATGTGTGCTACATGTATTTTGAGAAAATTCACCTACAAATGACATGTTTCCACAGCTGGCAGGTGTGATCAGCTGCTCTTAAATCACGAGGCACACGCTGTGTGAAACAGAACTCATGTTTGTGCTGCTTTCACTCTTCCACATGCACTCTACATGGCAGCAACAGGCTGACCAGCTAAGTGTGAGTGATGCTGCAGCAGGAAGCTGAAAGGTTTCACCCCCTGCTGTTCTCCATACAGACAGGGTCAACGGGACATGTAGAAACAGCTGCGTGGAGAGGAAGCGCTCAGCTTCTGGGTGTTTGAGTGACAGCGATGCAGTCCTGTCTGCTCGGACAGATTTCTGCTGAAGCGCCGCAGCTCGATTCACCAGACTCACCAGTTCTTTGGATTCTGTCAGAGAGTCCTCCACGTCGGAGAAGCTGAAGCTGGCCACCGTGATGAACTGGCTCACTACGGATACAAACTTGTCTCCAATATCTTGTGGTCGTTTCTTCTGGTATTCCAACTCCTAGAAGCAGAAATGCACAAAAGACTTTAGAAAAATGTGAAGGTAGAGACATTCAATTTAAAACGGAACAAAAAAACACGAATTGCCAAATAAATCTTTGACTCACACTCTCAACACTTTTTAAGCCACTGCGTAGGTTTCCAATATCTTTTTCCAGCTCCGTCATGCTGCATTGAAAGAGAGAAAGTTTCTTATTGTCTACAGAATGAAAGGACTGTCTTTAAAAATACAACAAGGAAATTAATAGCAGACGGCAGAGATTCCCAACTGTATTCTCCAGAAAGAAAGAAAAAAAGCTCTACTCTTTGAACTTGTGACAAAAGTAACCGTTCGGCCAAAAGTGACGTCACTTCTCAAAAATTTACAAGCAATTAGAACATGAAGAGGTAAACATGACACAGAAACAAAAGAAAAAAAGATGAAATTTGTGGACGGATAAACTCTTTCAGATTTTATATTTGTATTGACAGCACACGCCTTTGTGTCCTCCATTGTTCTTTGTAATGGGGGAAAAACTCCTCCAAGTGTCACGTACTTGACTTTGGCTGCCTCCGAGATGTTCTGCAGGTCGTTCTGGAATGTCAGGACTTTGGGATATTTCTTCTCCAGGATGGTGATCAGGTAGTTCAGCAGAGTGATGTTTCTGAGTTTTTGTAATCACAATGAGATGAGAAAGTGACAACTATACATATACATATAATTCACAATTGTAGATGCCATTTATAAATCTTCTACACTGTTCCTTCAGTTTGGATGTTACGGCTGAGAATCTTACTTGTCGATACTGGATTTGGTATCAGCGATCTTGTTGAGTGAAGACATCTTGAAGCCGTAAGCGTTGCCCCTCTGACCTTTGTTCATGTAGTTTCCAAAAGCCAGCACCACCTCCAACAGCTGCTTCAGGTTTCTACTGTGTAACATCTCCTTGGATGCCTTGGTCAAAGCTACAACGAAATAAAGTCAAATTTGTTGTTTTTTTAATACACAGTTGTTTGGTGTTGTAAATATCACATTGTTCCAAATCAAAATAATTGTGTGAAAAATATGCATATCGTACCTTCAATTTTGGGTTTGATCTCAGCGATTCTCTCTGCGAACTTCTTTTTGAAGTATAACGACTGCAGTCTTTGCTGATAGTGGTTTATTCTGAAATAAAATAAAGCTTATTTTTGGCAAAGTTTATAAGAAACCTGAAACCACAGACTATGAGGGTTATGAATCCCAAACTGGCATCTGTCCTCCAGTCCACCATGAAAGAATATCGCTTTTTTTTTTTTTACTTCAAAATGTTTTTGTTATCTTTTCTAAAAACTACATTCCTATAACTACACTGTAGCAAAGTGTTAGCTGTCAGTAGTGTCTGATACTAATGTTTTTTGTGGCCTACTTATAACAGATTTGCTTAGTTTTTTAATCTGAAAAAACATTTGCCAAACAAAAATATTTTAATTTATTATTGCTTCTATTTATTCACCAGCCTAATTTAGAAATCAGGATTCCAACAAATGGCTATTGTTCTCTGCTAAGTAGAAAGCCATGTGTCACGGCATTTATCGGCGCTCGCTGAAACAAAGACTATTGTTTGTCAGCACGTTTGAGCTGCGCTGACCTGCAGCTGACAGCACAGAGTGAACGTTAGATACAGAACTCAGAAGAGTGACCTACCTGCTCATCTCGTAAAGGAAGCGGTCAGGTTTGGCCATTCGATCGAGCTCGTGCTTGTGCTCCTCCAGGAGATCCACATCGCTCTTCTCTGGAACAAACTTCAGCAGCTGAAGGAGCAAAAAGAGCCTATTTACACAACAAGTTTGCCAGTTTTTCCTTTACGGACTACAGCAGGAGTTAATTTAACAAAGCCAACCTCACATGCTACATCTAGTTGTGCTCAGGTGCTGTACCTGCTCCAGCATGTCTTTGGGAAGGTCCTCGTGTTCGTCCATCGTTAGAATGGCTCTCTTGATCTCCTCGTTCGAAAGCTTCAATCTGCAGTTTGCAATAAGTCAGATCAAACGCATCACGAGTTGTGCCGTTTCAGTTTTGCACGAGATTATTGTTGAACGTACCGAGAGAGGAGGATGTTGCAGTTTTGAGCTCGACGACCATCGATGACCGACAGCTCCTTGACTTTCCTGGAGTTCAACGTGTCGTCTTCCGCCTCTTTCTGTTAGGAGTTATCATAATTTTACATCAGGGCTCTTTTTTCTTTTAATTGCAAAAACAGAAAACACACATTTTGTATACAGTAAGTCACAGTAACAAACAAATAATGACAAGTTGAAGAAAGTAGAAAGCCTTGAAGTCGTCACAAAACACACTTTAAAAGAATGATGGTGAACACAAGAAAGAAGCACACAGTGAAACATAAAAACAGTCTTTTTAACACCAAAATTACACTATTTTTTTCCACACTGTAAGTGAACTCACCTGTTTGCTGTTACTGATCATTAAGAAGTCCTAAAATGCAGCGAGAAGCAGGGAAAATGGAAGCATTCATTAGAATAAGTAAAGCAGTTATGTGATCGCAGCCCATAAGAACAAACAGCAAATGAATCAGAGCTCATTCAGTCACTATGAATCAGCGAGCGGCAGTGAGACAGATCAGGTGTTCAGTTAATCAATATGTGCTTGTTGTCACATGCTGTGTACATAACATTGAGCATCTCTGTGTTGCATCACAGATATTTGAAAAGGCTGTGAATCACTTTTTAAAAGAAAAAATAGAAATTATTCTCAGCCTTTTTCCAACTAGGATTGATTGTATGTATTCAACATGCCTTGGTTTATGTTTGAGCAGGGACATCTAGTAACTGTAACAAAACACAGTAGATGATTGCAAACAGCTTTCTCATGCATTTTCAAATCACACGCAGATGAATGATCAAAAACAAAAGTAGCACAGCTAGTGTAAAAACAAATCTATGATTTTACCATTCTTCAAAAGCATTTTAGAAACAGAAATAGCCGAACTGTGGAAAATTGAGCAATTCTGACCTCAGTTTAGTGTAGCTTTAATAAGAAGCAAGCTAACCACCTGAGCCAATCAAACACTTGGCTATGTGACTACAGATGACGTTGAATGAGACACATGAACAGAATAATCCTTGGTACCTGCTGTCTCTGATAAGCTGAGAAAGTTCTTTCGATGTCCACCAGATCCAGGACTTTAAAAACTCTGGTATCGTCCACATCCATCCAAACGGTGCCCTCGAGCTTGTTCTTTGCCGGGGAGGATATACATTTCCCATTTAAAAACAAACAGACAAAAAACAGGAATACAGTAGTACCTGATTATCACAGGGCTTATGTTCCAGACACCACCAGGATAGGTGGAAAATTGCGACGTAGGGACATTATATTTATTTTTCTATATATATATATATATATATTTTAATATATATTTTTTAATTTATATATATATATATATATATTATTTTTTTTAATATATATTTTTTAATGTATATATGTATATATATATATATGTATATATGTATATGTGTATATATATATATATATGTATATGTGTATATATATATATATGTATATGTATATGTGTATATATGTATATGTATATATATATATATATATATATGTATATATATATGTATATGTATATATATATGTATATGTATATATATATGTATATGTATATGTATATATGTATATATATATATATATATAT